AGTGCAAAATCAGGCCTTTAGGGCCTGTGACCCTCAAAGGTCGGGCCTTTAGGCCCTGGTGTGTCCCTCCGGCCCTAAGTCGGGTCCGGTAGGACCCGTGTGACTCGAAGATGTAACACGTTGGTACTCTGTCCCCTTTCCCTTGCATGCCCCTCCCTGGTTGATTGATTAAGATGAACGGACGTGGGGGAGCTTGTCGAGAGGCAGATGAAGTGTTCAGGCTGCACCGAGCGTTTTTTCTCTTTGATGCATTGGTAGTAACGTGGTACTTGTTTCACTTTCCCTTGCGTTCCCCTCTCTTCCAAGTACCATTTCCTTGGCTTACTACCAGGAATGGCTGATGTGAATGATCTTTGTACCTGCTGGCAATTCCTGGAATGTTGTTGTCTGTCGGACATGCAGGTGAAGTCGCCAAGCTGTTTGTAGATGCAGGGATTATCACCCTTGTGAGCTTGATTTCTCCATATCGGGAAGACCGGGATCGCTGCCGAGCAATGTTTCCTGCTGGTGATTTCATTGAGGTTTGACATCCTCCTTTTGCCCTTTTGCTGTTGCTACCTCTTTTTTTCAATGCCTGTGTTTCAGTCTGTGACTCTGCCCGTGTGCATGTATAGCTGCCATGCAGACTCTCATAATGTTGACACAAGTGGTTAACAGGGACCTACACCATTCAGCTCTTGGGTCTGAAAATTTAGGCCTCCAATGACTGTCTCTTGATGTTGATATGAAAAGACCAACCACGTAGGTTGAACGACTGACAACATTCATTACAGCATAGGACGGCGGTTCGGACATGCACACTCATGGACAAAGCTCATGCACAATGGAAGGAAAGGATATGGCCACCGATCGACAACCAATACAACCTATCAGCGGACAACACCCTTGCTCTCATAATGAATTTGTGGAATTTTGGTCGTACTTCTGGGTGCTGCAGCTGCTGCTGTGATTTTTCTGTGTGCCTGTGCGTGCTGTGATTTTTCTCTGCACCTTTCCTTTTTTTTTATAAACACACAAAGGCCCTTCTATTCTACGGGGTGTCGGTCCGGTTGCTTATCACTGGCAAGTATTCACTCACAGAGTCACAGTTGATGCTTGCGCCACAGACCCTGAGTAGCACGGGAGTGGGGAGGGTGGAAATCTGTGGATCTTGATGTCGGGTTACTGTCTTGCCCCATACATAAGGTGCCTGCATTGTGAACGAAATTCAACGAATGTAATTTTGCCGGTCATATCCGCTTACAAATTATAACACATTATAAAGGATTGAGTCCGATTGACAGACTGGGAGGTCTTTCATGATTCAATGGGTGGTGGTGCATGGCCGTTCTTAGTTGGTGGAGTGATTTGCCTGGTTAATTCCATTAACGAATGAGACGTCAGCCTGCTAGATAGCTATGTGGGGACTTTTAAATTAGAAAGACAAATTAGAATGCATATGCATTACTCTTGCTTGCTTGCTTTCAAAGAAGCGCCCACGCCGTCGGTTAGCGCGAGAAAACAAGCGCTGCACTATTTCGCGCTAGCGCCTGGCCCCGGCCTACGGGCTCACGCGAACCGAAACCCGCCCCCCTCACCGTCCTCCCACCCAGCCGCCCGCACGCCTCGCTCGCCCAACTTCGAAATTTCAGAGCAGGGCGGCAACACCCGTCATCGCCACAAGGGGGTGTAGACTATCCTACTGGGACACTTCGGGACTCTAGGACCGGGACTGGGGTGTCTGCAACGTGAATCCTTTCACAATGCACACTGATCATGAACTTGTACAAGCTACTTTTCTGGTCTGCTCCAGTCAAGATGAGTTTTTTTTTTTTTTTTTTTTTTTTTTTTTACGAGGACCATAATGAGGGTGTTTTGTGCTCAGGGGACAGCAGTATTGTTGGTAGTTTTTGTTGGTGTCGCCCTGATCGATCCGCAGCCAGATGGAATCGGACCAACGACCTCGGCCATAATAGCCAGATGCCCTTACCACCGCAACCGTGACCCAGTGTTCAAAACCGAAGCCATACCGGTTGTGACATTCAGCCCGCCCCAGCACGGTTACAGCAAGGACTTGTCAGCACTTGACATCCGTGAGCTCCTCCGCAGGCAGCAGCCTCCACGCAGACACCATCATCCAGGTGAACCCCCCCTGGCTGGTTACTACGCTCGTACACTGTTGGTAGTTTTTGTCGGCATAGCCCTGATAGATGTGCAGCCAGACGGAATTGAACCGGTGACCTCGGCCATAACAGTCTGGCAGCCAAAGACCTTGTGTCCTGGCGTGTCAGTAGTGCTTTTCATTGGACTACACAAACAAAAACAAAAAAAACAAAAAAACCTGCTCTGTATTGTTGACATCCGCTACACCAATAGTAAATCTGCAGCTCCTCGCCAAGTTGGCATCGTCATGTGGGGTTTTGGTGTCACTACATATATGATTATCAATAAGTTCCTGCCGGTGACAAGCGGACGATCGGCGCCCTCCGATATTTTGCTGCGCGACGGTCCCGATCGTCTGCTGATCGTTTTTCTTAGAAGTTGAAGCGTCGCCAGGGCCAGTACCAGTCCCGCACGCCAGTGCTAGCGCCACACTTGGTACTTGGCCGTGCTAGCACCAGTACTGTCGGACGTTGCCCACACCAAGTGGCCACACGTAACAAACTTTTACCAATTTTGGGAGGCGGTGCGGGAAAAACCGCATGGCCCCACACCACACCTTCCCTCCAATCGACTTCGACTTTTCATACCCTACCGTAGGCCACAGCGCTCGACTTCGACTGACTTCTACGCTGCTATGCTCGACGACGACTTCGCCCTACGTTGGACACACGCACACGCACAAGCACACGCACGCGCACGCACACACACACGCACACACACACACACACACACACACACACACACA